TTGCTTGAGGCCAGGACTGTGAGTATGGCTAAACTATAGACCCCCGTACAAGAGTTCGGAAGTATCAGAAGAAGAAGTCAACCACATTTTGATGGGCTCTAAAAAAATGTTGTTAGAAACAGATCTTGAATGTGTGTTCATTGTATAGTGGGAAAGCATTCCATAGAGCATAGATCAGAGGAAAAGCAGTGGCAAAATGAGAAAAAAAAAAGGGAGTATAAAAGGTTATAGATCTGCTACATTAGTGATCTTGTCATCAGGGGCCACTCTGAATCACGAAGAGAACACTTACTGTCTCCTACAGCATCACTTCCTTACTGGCAGAACCAGCGAGGCTACGTTCTGTCACTACTCCCTCGCTGGCTAAACCGGCGAGGTGTCGCTTTGTTGCTGTGCTACGAGCAGCAGGTGAATGCTCTCTTTAGCAATCCTGTTGCTGGAAAATTGCTTGCAACAACAGAATAGCTAAGCTTCAACTAGAATGTTTGAAAAACTCAGTTATATGCAGCATGACAACTTTAGACACAATAATAGAAAAAGGCTAAAAATAGCTATCCTACAAGATATCAACACTATTTTCTCTATGAATTAAAACGGGAGTAAAGTCTCAAAAGAAAGGAAAGGCTTTCTCCTAGAATCTTTTTGTGTTTTGTATACACTACATGCGCAGTGCAAACTCCCAGTATGCTCTTGACATCTGTAGGATTCAAAATTATTTTGTCATGTCAAGGTAATGCAGTAAAACATCTATGTATGTCCAGGCAATGGAATTCCGCTTTTTCGGCTCATCACAAAAGAATGGCAAAACAATCTATGGAAGCTCAATGCCACCTTCCAGAGGTACCTTGGCTCTGGATTATTTTATCTGGGAGTAGAGTAAGGTATGGCTCCTTGATAGATAAGGCTCGTAAGTCTCCTACCCTTCTAGTTATAGCTCAAAGGAAAGTGGGTTTGAGGTTCAAGAACTTTAAAATACCTCACGTAGAGGCTCAAAAGTAGGAAGAGTTAAGCCCTACTTAATTTTATGCAGCTGTTGATCCATTCATTTATTTTCACTGACCTCATTTTTACAATACTACATATCTAAGCTCCATCCTGTCTGTCACTGTGACCTGTATATTAACACTTCATCTCCCTTATCCTGTGCATCTGTTAATTAACCCTATTATCTTCATTCTCCCACTATATGTGACCTGTACAATAACTTCTCACCTCCTGATCCTTCTGGGTATGACCTAATGTGTTGTATGAATGTACCACTACCAAGCTCCATGTTTTAACCCCCTCAATACCAGAATGTTTCTTCCAAATAATTGTGGCAAAAAAAAAATAGGATTTTTTTACTCACCGTAAAATCCTTTTCTCTCCGTTCATTGAAGGACACAGGCAACAGATCGTAGATCCTGAATGGTAGGGTAATATCGCCACCTGCAGGAGAAGGACGCTAGGCACAAAACTAAAGACCAATTACAGCCTAGGGGCGGCCCCTGCCGGTGGCCAAACCCCCCACCTGCTGACAAGTCTCCAGTTTAGTAACAAGCAGTTAGGAGTGTACACCCCATAAAGAGGGCGGGGCCTGTGTCCTTCAATGAACGGAGAGAAAAGGATTTTACGGTGAGTACAAAAATCCTATTTTCTCTCCCGTTCATTGAAGGACACAGGCAACAGATCGTAGATCCTGAATGGTAGGGACGTCACCAAGCAGTAACACACTGTAGGCCCAGGCTTCCGGCGCTGTTCCTTCTTGCGCGCCTGGGGGAGGAAGGTACTCTTACCCCCCGTCAGATCCTTAATGATCTCATCCAAGGTGGAACCAAACAGACGGTACCCAGTAAAGGGCAGTTCCTGAAGAGTCTACTTGGAAGCCTGGTCTGCCGACCAGCACTGAAGCCAAAGCAAACGGCGAAGCGTCACCGCTGACATCGACACCCTGGACACCAAGGGCGCCGCATCCAAGGCCGAATCACAGACATAACGCAGGCCCAGCACCAACTGGTCCACCATTCCACAAAGGCGGGGGAGACGTTCTCCTCCGCAAGACCCTGATGTAACATTTTAGCCCACTCAGTTAGAGTCGAGAGACCAAAGCCGAAGCCAAGACCGGACGCATGAGAGCGCCGGAGACAGAGTACAGGGACCGCAAAAGCGCCTCAGCCTTCCTATCGGAAGGATCCTTAAAGGACGGAGAATCCTCCACCGGGATAACCGTGGCCTTGTTTAAATGAGAGACCGGCGGGTCCACCACCGGTGGTGAAGACCACTTAGACACAAAGTCCTCCTCAAAAGGATAGCGAACCGAGAACCGTTTCGGAACCGCAGAGGACTTATTAGGCCGTTCCCACCCCTCAGAAATGAAATCAAACATGCCGCCCTTAGGTTGTAATTGGTCTTTAGTTTTGTGCCTAGCGTCCTTCTCCTGCAGGTGGCGTTATTACCCTACCATTCAGGATCTACGATCTGTTGCCTGTGTCCTTCAATGAACGGGAGAGAAAAAAGGGATCGCCTTGGGGTGTCTACTTTTCAAAAAGGCATAATTTCAGGAATATTCACACTGCACTGGCTTTTTAATAGAAAGTAAGGGAAACAGTTGTTTATTCTTGTTTCGTTTCCATGGTAAAAAAAAAAAAACCTGGTTATTAAATACCACCAACAGAAAGCTCTATCAGTCTCAAAACATTATATGAAGTTTAATACAAGAGGATGTTGATCAGGTATAGCAGGACTGAAATCCCCTGAAGACAAAAATGTAACAATGGTTCTGCTTGGACTTTGGTAAAAATTCTGGGGGATGCCTTGAGACCGAAAAGCAAAGCCTGGAATTGCCAATCCTAGATGTCATCCTACATCTGAATAGCAAACCTCTGGTGGGATTAATATATTTGGATGTGTACAGTAGATAAGTATCCTGCAAATCTAAAGTAACTGTGTATACATCTCATTGTAAACCCTTCCTGACTGATACTTTCCACATAGAATTTCTTGTAGGTTAGATACCTGTTACGAAGTTCTAGGTTTATGATCATGCGGTATTTTTCCAAAGGTTTATGCACCACGAAAATGTGAGGGGAAAAACTCTGAAGCCGATAATCCGAAGAAACTGGAATTATTAGCTTCTGTTGATGAAAAGCTTGAACGCAGTTTAGCAATGCCTCTGATTTTACCTAGTTTGCCAGCAGACGGGTCAGAAAAAAAAATCCTAGGGGAAAAGGGGAGGTTTAACATCTCAGCCCATACCCTTGAACCACAAAAGGGGCTGGTTGGATTACTGACCCACTGTTGTCTGAACTGAAACAATCTTCCCCGATGCCTGATACAGCATCATTTACTATCCTTTGGGTGGACTCTGCAGAATTAAAGAGGATGCCCCCCTTAGGCTTGTTCTAAATGGAACCCAACTTCTTTTTTGAACCTTAGTTTTTAGGGGCTGAGACTGTTCCTGTGCACCATTAAAAATGCATCTATTTAGGAATTTCTTTTTTTCTAGTCTATAAATGTTTTACCTTTTTCACCCTTCCTAGAAAAAAATGTATCTAGCTTGGAAGCAAAAAGTAAATTTCCCTCAAAGAGGATTTCAAATAATTTGGATTTGGATGTAGCAACCCCACCCCAGGATTTGAGCCAAATAGCCTTGTCAACACCCTGAAGGCATTCCACCACCTCCTCCATAGGAGCTTTCTTACTGAAGTGCTGACCTATTTAGACAACCAAAACATCCAGTATTGCAAGCCATGCAAAGCGCTAGCGTCCCAGGCTCTCCTAAGAAGGGCCACTTCCTTCCTATCCATTGGATCTTTGTTTAATCCTGAGTCAACAAAAGGAGAGATTTGCATTTTTACAAACTCACGACAAAGCATCTAATTTGGGACGTTAAAAACAATTATCTTCTTTCTCTTTAGTGAAAGGGAACCACCTCTTCCAGGCTCTGAGGTTTACAGTTTTTTTTCCAGTTCCTTCCATTCAGGATTAATGGATAGGAAGGACCCTCCTCTTACACTCATGTAAACCCTGTACAAGTGATATTAACTGAAAGTGCAGGAGGGTATCAGGAATAGTTCTGTAGCATGAATTGCAAAAAAAAAAAAGGTTAGCTTAACCTTAACTTTATCTACAGAGAACAGGTATCCCGTGGACCTATTGTTCTCCCGGACAGGATCCCGTTTCACGATCCTCCACAGAGCTATCCCCAGAAGCAGAGCTATCCCCAGAAGCATTCTTCTCTTCCCTCGGCTCTGTTCGTGAAACTAGGGCAGATATTGGTGCAGAGCGTCACACGCAAATCACCAATATACTTCCTATTAGTGTCACAGCAGCCTTGGTCTTGAAAGTGCACTTGTCCTTTAGTTAAAGCTAAACTCCAGCCCTATCTTCAGTTCTGCACTGTTGTACAGACTCTTCTCTGACTTCACTGCACACTGTGAGCTTCTCACAATGTACAAAAGGAAGCTGCAGCAAGTCAGATAGAGTCCAGCTCATGCCCAGGTTTCAGGGCATCCAGCATCATCTAGCTTTTTCCTCCCCAGCCTTAATGTCCCTGGCCGCCCCTTTCATTCATTGGATTTCAGTTATTTCAATCATGGAGGCTCAGTATCACATGTAGGCATTGCCTAGAGCAGACCTCCAGACTGACATCCACCTATCAAGGCATTTCGCTATTTGCATAACTCCTCCCAAGAGTTGCTTGCATCAGAGCTGAGGGCTCTTGAGAGGAGTACTAAGGCAAATTGATGTGATGCTTTAAAGAAACTATTTTCAACACCCCACCAGCCATGATCTGCCTGCATTGCATGGAGACGTAGAGAGGTAAATAAGGTTTTTAGTGAAAACAGAAATGTTTTATTTAAAAATGTCATTATCATATTAATGAGGGGAAAGGCAAAGCATAAGCGGATTAAACTTCAGCTTTAAATTATGCATGACTTTAAATATTCTTTTCCCATAAATATATTCCCTTTATAACAACATTAATAAGAACTGGAATTAAAAACTGAATTCCATCTTACCAATTTCTCCTTCCATTCCTTGTCTTGGAATGTTGATAGATGTACGCGTGTCTGATTCAATGTTTCTCCTAGTCTCTCCTTTCTTACCTATAATGTACCTGAAGCACAAAAACAGCAGGACAACATTAGACTAAAGCCTTTGCAAAATTAATTAAGTTCATGAATTGCACATGAATGTGCATGCGTATACAGAGGAAGCATTCCTAAAGCACCATAATTAGTATTATTAGCAACACAGATTTTGTTTAAATGTAAAAAAAAATCCCCACATTGCTGCTGTAAGCACTTACCTTGCTTGATGCTTCTTGCTGCGATCATCTTTTTCATTCCATTTGTTTCCTCCAGTCCCTCCAGCGCTGGTGCCAGTCTCTGAACCAACACAGACTCCTTGTGTCCCACGGTGTCTGTCCGCGCTGCGCGCTCCCAGCTGCCCGGCTGCGTCCATTTAGCTTTAGTGTCTGTTTTCTCCCCTCCCCTCTACTGTGCATGAGCCCACACACTTCTTCTTTACAGCCGTTTGGGAGTCGGGAGTAAGTGGCGCTGGAACAGGCAAGTAATTAGGTATTTGCCTAATGTTTTATTAATTTTTTTAATTATGGGGCATATATCTACTACTTGCTGTCAGTAGATATATGCCAAAAAATAGGAGACTTTAATTGTACTTTAAAGGTGTTGTTTGATATTACATGCTTATTCCATGGAAAAGGGCACACATGTGAAACATAACACACGTGGGAAAATATAGTGATTGCACGGGGTTTTCTGAACTATATTATCACATCAGTTAGTGTCATCAGCCACACATAGACATCAGATTGTCACCTCATGTCGAAATAAAATTTAATAAATGATAAAGCATTTAAATGGCTAATGGATAGGGTGAAAGGGACAGCTGATTGCACTGCTCTAGAGCAAAATGTAGTGCAACACTCTCCTTACAGTACAAAGAGAAACAAAATCATATGCAGGTAATAACGAACCAAAAACAAATAGTAAAGAAGTAGAAAATCAATTAAATGCAGTCATACTGTGAAGAAATTAGTTTGTCACTTTATGGCCACTTATATTATGCTACTGCTAGATCCTTCAGCATTAGGTTATATGTAAAACCAAGAACAAACATGTAATACATTGGAGCTTTCTAGTCCCTAGATGAGGTGACTGCATTCGTTTTCTATTTTTAGGCTTTTAGTCTTTTATTTCGACCTATTTATCCTGCCAGTAACACACTTCCTGTTCTTGGTTTACAATGCTCACTCACCATATGGAGAAGCAGTGTTGTCACCATAAGACAGAAAAACACCTCCCCCTTCCATCTTACCCATACCATAAACAGGAGGGTTCTCTAGTCAATAGATAGCTGGGAAGGGTTATATAGTCCTCAGACAGCTGGGAAATGTACACAATAAAAATGTAACACAGGCAGAGAGTACAGGAAGTTATCAGCTAACAAGATTTCTGGCACAAGCAATCGTTATTGCACTTATCGAACAGATATAATAAAATGCTTTTAAAAGCAAATTATAAGAGTTTACAAACCCTTTAGGATGAAATGAATCCTGTTCATCACTCCCATTACTTATGGAAAGATCACATGACTGGTTGCATAGATTTTCTAATATGTTGCTTATAGCTACTATAAATACAAATCATTCACTCGCAAGCTGGAACAGAGGGACGTGCTCTAGTAAAATGTTAAACTCACTTAAATAGCTGACTAGGTAGATTGATGGTACATTGGTACCCCTTCTCGGTTTCTTCAATGGTGTAATCATCACAGGGTTCCTCTATACATTGCTCAGATTCTGTAGAGAAAAAATACGGTCATAGAGAATCTTGGATTGGTCTGCTAGAACAAAGAATTTTTCTTTCTACAAGTGAAAGGATTTGCAACTCAAATAAAAAAAAATCACTTCTACCTATGTAAAAATCCTCTTCCTCCTCATGCTGGTATGTGGCCTCTCGAACAGTGTTCTTCCTGTATATACGTCCCCCAATAGCGATCAAGGTGGGACGTAGCACTTCCATGGCCAGCTGAGACTGTGACATACAAGAAATAAACACATGAATAATTTTAGCATATAAACTCATAGGGAGAATAATAAACTGGCGCTTCTGTTGCTGGCAATGTGTCGCAGGGACAGAATTGCCTGGTTTTTGATGGCCCAGTGGAGTGCTTGGTCTTCGCCAAGGAGTCCTGGAAAAACAGGCACCAGAGATTGACCATAGTTTCCAAATGTCCCTTATTTTGATAGACTGTCCCGTTATCAGAACCAAATCCCTCTGTTGCTTTATACTCCTCTAATGCCTCTATTTTTGGCCGGGTGTAGGGATCTGTATAGATAAACATTCTGTTTGACTGCCAATTTTGTTTACGTGAAAAAAAGTAGTGGTTAAAACAAGTGATCATTCTCGAGCTTTCATTCTTCATGGTCTGCAGGATCAAGGGGTATGGCAAGGATATGTCCATTGCACTGCAACCCAAACTGCACTGTTACTGACGCAAGGCATAATGAACTGGTATAGCAAGAGCCACAGCAGTAAGTGCTCATTTAAAACATTTTGTTTGCTGAAAATATAAAAGACACAAATAAATGCAGCTCGGTATTCATTAATACATCATTAAATGTGTATTCTTTAAATAAAAGCAGTGTAAGTACCGGAATCTGACTTGGTATCAGCCTCTTGCAGTCCCTGTACAGAGGCAGAGCTCTGACTGGGAAAGGAAGAAGCAGCACAAAGATCCAATCAGTGCATATGATGACAAGGAGAAGAAAGCCGAGTGACAGAGACATGGGATAATTCTCCTCCACTGGTCAGTCACAGGCCTGGGGTGAAAATCTATTGGGAATTGAGTAAGGAAAATGAATGATGCTGGCTATCATTCAACCCTGATGATGGAGGACATCTTTTGGGAATGTACTGTAGGGGGTAGCTTCAGGTTGAAGGTCAGCATTGCATCATTAGATCTCTGCCTTAAAGTTATAATCAAAAAGTGTTTAAGCTATTTTAGATGCTAATAAAATCACTTACAATGGATGCTGCTTCTTTGTGTTTAAGGGCCTGCTCACACCAAAATCATAAGGTGGAGGGTCCGATGACCTGCAATTTCAGCCTTCATTGACTTCCATTCTGTTCTTTTTTTGCAAATCTTTATTTTAATTAACATGTCCTGAGTTGACATACATCTATGTTTTGTTTTTACTTTCATTCCATTGCACTGAAAGCAGTAGGAGCACACTCTACTTTCTTTTCATCGCACTGCAACAGAACAGATCGCAACGGTGTGAACAGGTCCCATTCACACTAATTGATTTTCCGGCGGTCCTTGCGTTAGCATCCGTTGAAAAATGGATTGCAACGCAACAGATCTGGGGTTAATACTGCCTAAAAGTTTTAGCTTCCTGCAGAATCAGCTTGCCCCAGAGCGTTGGCCCTTATATTCTGTTTTATGTTGGCTTCTTTCCTTTGCAGGGTCCTTTGGAGCCACCCCTGTGTGTGATAATAAGCTGTGTGTGTTAATAAACTGTGTGTGTCTCCATAAACACACCAGAACAGCAAGCAAAGCACTCTGCTCCCAGCTCCCCCTCTTTCCTTCTACAAGCTAGTAGATGAACAGCTGCTGGAGACTGTGATGTCCCTTGTGATCTTGTGATCTTGTAGTGGACATACATACTCTGGAGCACTGCACTTTACACTCTGTACTGTATGTTCCATAATCTCCAGTGCAGCACACTATACCCTGTATGTTACATACTAAACCCTGCACTGTATTATATATACGCCAGAGAACTGCACTCTGCACACTGTACGTTGCATAGTCTGGACTGCTGCACTTTATGTTACATACTCTGGAGAGTGCCACTCTATGCCCTGCACTGTATGTTACATACACTGGAGATCTGCACTCTATACTCTGCACTGTATGTTACATACTCTGGAGATCTGCACTGTATGTTACATACACTGGAGATCTGCACTGTATGTTACATACACTGGGGATCTGCACTCTATATTCTGCACTGTATGTTAGATGTTCTGGAGAGCTCCGCTCCATACCCTGCACTGTACGTTACATACTTTGGAGATCTGCACTCTATACCCTGTACTGTATGTTACATACACTGGTGATCTGCACTCTACACACTGTACTGTATGTTACATACACTGGAGAGCTGCACTCTACACATTGTACTGTATGTTACATAGTCTGCAGAGCTCCACTCTACACACTGTACTGTAAGTTACATACTCCTGAGAGCTCCACTCTATACCCTGCACTGTATGTATGTATGTATGCTACATTCTCTGGAGATCTGAACTCTATACCATATGCTATATACCCTGGAGTTGTAGAGAACACACCACAGAAAGTGCTTCACAATCTAAATCAGAACGTCAGCCATAAGAGGTGCCCCAAGTAATATTTTACCTTGGTGACTGAATCCCCACAGGAACTTGAAGCCAATAACTGCAACGAGGGATAAATGGAACATAAGTTCTTTATTTGAGTTTCTGGCGGAAGGTTACCACAGCACACCCGTGGTAATGCGAGAGGTGCTGGTACATTAGTTACAGTCTACAACAAAATGGAGGTTCCACACTAAGAATGTGGTGATAGAAGGGGGTTGATTGAAAAACGTCAGAGATTGGGTTTAAGCAACTACTAACACAACTTTTTGGGTTACCGCACTAAAGTAATATATGTAATAATGTGCAGATAGGGGGCAAGCCTACCATGGCTAAGCCTGGAAGGGAGCAGAGAAGCGGAGACACAAAGCGAGGATACTGAGTAGAAGAAGGGATCACGTGACCGATAGCATCAAAACCAGGAAGTGTGAGGTGACAGAACGAGTGGAGGAGCTCTACAATAATAAGACCGTTGTAGAGAAGGTAATGTACACTTTGTAAAGAAGAGTCCGTGCTATAAGATATATCTCAAGGAGCTCTGAGGAGGAAGGGAAGTGAGAGGCAGAAATTAATACAGATCAGACGTCTTGCAGAATAGGTGTAATGGAACGGGTGATGGTGCTGTCCTTATTAGTTATGTGTTATGCGAATGACGGTTTCCCTGAGGTGAACAAATCAGGTGGCTGCCAGGGGTGTATATTGCACCCCTGAATATACCAGTTCATTGCTGTCATTCTGATCCTGTGGCGTCAGCACTCAGTCCCTGAGCTCGAATAAGTATTTGCAGATCTGGAGCTCTGATTTGTCACTGACATTTGTGGCCTGCATGCTTGTTCCTTTTCTGTGACTCAGGAAGAATTAAAGAGGGCCTTCCATGCCAAACGGAAGGTGCGCTCTTTAGCATGGCTTTTAAAAGCATACAAATCCAAGGGTGTGGAAAATTTTTTAAAAACTACTTGTCCAAGAGCTAAAGTGGGGACCAAATCTAATTGTCCCTCATGACAATCTACTTGCCCCAGTACAAAAAATAGTTTTAATCAGAACTAGGGATGCACCAATACCAGCTTTTGGGTATCAAGTACGAGTACTGATATTTTGCTTTCGTTACTCGCCGATACCGGTGCTTCTATTGGCATGGAGCAGGCTTCCCGGGCAATCAGGAAGCCGGGCTGCGGGTATTGAGATGCCAAGGAAGCTGACTCCGTGTTGTTTGGCCAGCTCAATTGTGATTGGCCGGGAAACCGGCTTCCCAGCCAATCAGGAAGCCAGGTGGCGAGTAATGACCTGATTGGCCAGGAAGATGGCGCGATGCTGATTGGCCGGGAAGCTGGCTTTTGACTGTGCTAAATAGTGCTTCTCATTGGTCAGCGTGATCACCTGACCACACTGACCAATGAGTGCTTGCAATATGCGAGCGAAAATTCAAAATGCATAGGGCAGGACTGCGCTGGACAGCAGTACGGGGTACAGATAGTACACTTGTACTGGCGGAGGATAAGGACTGTTCGCTGAAAGGTAAGTATAGCCGGGGGTTTGTTTTTTTTGGAGAGCCATGTAGGCTCTTTCTATATTCCAGTGTTATAAGAATGTTATCATTTTTAGAACATAGTTATAAATACAGCTCTGTAGGCCGGAATAACACCTTTCTGTTCATTGTCATTCAGAATGGTACCCCAATGCACAAACACAGTGTAAATAAACAGATCAGTGATACATTGTGTTGACTGAAAAGTAATGCAGGTGTGCACTGAGGCTTTTTAAGGACCTGTTTAAAGTGAATGGACTCCCTTAACGCAACACACAAACAAGTGTGTTTAACCACTTCCGGGCCGGCCGTAGTAAAAAAACGGCCGGCCCGAGCTCTCTAGATCTGAGCGGGCGTCTTTAGACGTCCGCTCAGACACGCCCCCCCGCGCGCGCGAGCGGGAAATGGCCGTTTTTTAAAAACATGGGTGCGCGCAATTTTAAAGCTTGACATGTTTGGTGTCTATTTACCCGACGTGACCCGATCTTTTATATTTTACCAAAAAACTGGGTAATAATAAATGTTTCCTAACATAATGTTAAAAAAAACTTTTTTTTCCCCAAATTTTCTGTAATTTTTCCTAATTATAGTAAAAAATAAAAACCCCAGTTGTGATTAAATACCACCGAAATAAAGCTCTATCTGTCCCCAAAAAATGGTATAAAATTCATTTCAGTACAGCGCTGCATGACGGAATAAACGTCAGTCAAAGTACCGCAGCGCTGAATACTGAAAAATGGCCTGGCCAGGAAGGGGGTCTAAACACCTGGTCTTGAAGTGGTTAATGCACATGAAAAGATGTATATTTCTTGGGAAGTTGAAATTCAGTTCTGACTTTCTTTTGGCACTCTGCCCTTACCTTTTACATGAGGCTATGGGGGTAGGGGTCGATTATCTGCACGGCTGATTATTATGGCCGATAACCACAATGAGTGCTATAAACTGCATCTGAATTAATCTTCCCGATTTTACTGAAATTCAAGGGAGAGCTGTCAGTAACCTGTAGCAGCAGGTCTCCAGCCTGTGTCCTGTACACTACCTCCTCTGCAGAGTGATCTCCTCCCTCACTGCCATCACATAATTCCTTCAGGCACGGAAGAGGCAGAGGCACGCAGAGAGCTCAGCCAGACACAAGGTAGAGCTACACAAGCTAAATAATTAAAATTTAAATGTAATACTTGAACTCTGCAGAAAAAAGTACACAGCTATACAAGCGATCGGCGGCTATAGAGCCGCCGACCGTTTGTATGTCTACAGTCGGTAACAGCTGTGCAGAATGGACGGGTTTTGTTTCTGCCTGTGCGCGCGCAAGCAGAAAAAAAAAGCCGTCTAATTACGGTAACCCGCCCATGTGAGTTTGCCGTCCCTCCGTTTTTTCACAACGGGTGGACGACAAGCGGTTAATAAAGATAAAATAAAATGGGAAATAAATGGAAATAAAAGAAATAGTTATTCACTAATCCATTCTACACTAGTCCTCCTTGGTGACCTCACAGGCATACTGGGACTTGTGTTCCTCTGGAGACTACAAGTATACTAGGACATGTAGACCCTGGGTGACGACACATACATGCTTGGCCTTCTAGTCCCAGCAGGAGGTCACCAGGGACTACAAATCCGAGCATGCCTGTGTGGTTACCCGGAGTCTACAGGTTCCAATATACTTAATTGTGTTGATTTTTCACAACTTTAAATGTACAGAATATTGGCTATCGGCCTGAAAGGAGGCCAAATATTGTTATCGGCGCTGGGAAAATGATATAAGTTAATCCCTACTATGGGGGACTTGGCAGGTTCACTTCAAAGCTTTTCCGAAAAGCTTTCCAACTGGGACTGTAAAATTACTGTAACATTTTACAATCTGTAAAAAAATTGATCATGTCCAGTGAAATATTTGCTTACCTCATGTGTCATGTTTTAGAATTTTATTGTGCTTATCCATTTTTGTTTCTTTTAAAGGTTGTTAGTAATGGCTGCCTCATCATCCTCTTCATCAGCTGGCGGAGTGAGTGGAAGTTCTGTTACCGGGTCCGGATTTAGTGTTTCAGACTTGGCACCCCCACGAAAAGCACTCTTCACTTGCCCCAAAGCTGCCGGAGACATGCTAGAAGGTAATCAATGGTTTGCTCTTAGCAGGCGTAACATTCACGCCCAGGACAAGACAACACAAGATGGATGCTATTATCTTTATTAGCTAGTAAAGCCTGATCCCTCTGCCTTTTTGTAGCTGGGACCAGACTTTAGAGCTTAAGAACTGCCATCCCACTGTCCAACGGCATTGCCTCAGTAGCTATAACAGGCACTGTTATTGGAAAAGGGATACCAGTTAGTGGTGCATAGCCATGAAGTCTTAGAATGTCAGGCCCAAGTAGCAATGTAGTGGCGTAGTGGTTAGCCCTTCTGCCTTGTAGCACTTGGGGTCCCTGGTTCGAATCCCGGCCAGGTCACTAGGAGTTTGCATGTTCTCCCTGTGCTTGCGTGGGTTTCCTCCGGGTACTCTGGTTTCCTCCCACACTCCAAAGACAGTAGGTGAATTGGCTCCTCCCTATGTATGCATGTGAGATAGGACCTTAGTTTGTAAGCTCCTTGAGGGTAGGGACTGATGTGAATGTGCAACTATGCAAAGTGCTGCGTAAATTGTCGGCGCTATATAAATACCTGTAATAAATAATAATGTGAAATAAAGGGCCTAATTATAGCTTAGAATGGATACTGCTATGCTCTGTCTACTCCACACTGCATCTGCATTTTATGAACCATTCATAAAATGCAGGCCACCATGTGGAGCCTGTGCTGTCCCATCATAAAGCTGCACAAAACACTGAAAAAACTCAATGATTGTGGAGGTCTGATGACACGACTTTGACAGGTAATGTGACAGGGCTGTCCTTCTGACTTTTTTATTTCCATTCATTGAAATAGAGATTTGTCAGCTTTAGAATCCCAGAGCAAACAAAGTGCTAATTACATCACTGTGCGTTTTTTTTTTTTTGTAGCGGCTAGAAATCATTGCACCGCTTTATACCTGGACGCCTAAATCAGAGAGGAACCTTTCCCTTCCAGAACAAGCATTTCTGGCTAATGGAGTTAATAGTAGACATCAGTTGATATCTGCTGACTGGCACATGTTTTAATTGAATTTTTTTAAATGGACTGCAGATTCACTCCCTCCACCCCCAATCCTTTTTGTTGTGCATTCTGGTGAAAAACGCTTCCAATCCTCAGACACCCTGGGGCACTCATATTAATAACGTGCTGGATTAGTCTGACCCAGGGGCGGACTGGGCCCGGAGGCAGGGTGGCAATTGCCCCCCAAGCCTCTCTGATACCTTTCATTGCGCATTGTTACTGATCTTTATACTCTGCGTCACACCGCTGACCTGGTGGAGTTAAGTCCGGGGCAGGGTAGGGGTTAGGTGGGGCAACTGGTGGCGAGTAACTTTTCAGGCCTGGCTAGTAGCTTAGGACTTGAAATTTTGAGCCCTGGTTATATGATGAGGGGACATTGTCAGCAAGAGGCAAAACAGGAATGCGGCAGCTTTGCAATATGTTAGGAAGTCCTCAGGGGAACTTCTTGGATGTGCAACAGTTTTGTGTGTGATTTTTCTTGCAACAGTCCGTCCCAGCAATTTGTAAAAAAAAAAAAGCACCTTATTCCATTTCTGTGCAATCCGTCGCTATTAGTAAACAGCTGTCAGGGGAACAAAATGCACAGGTAAAAAAATTATTATTTTTCTAAATGCGACTGCAAAACAAAGTCGCAAAGCCTTTTAATAAATTCCCCTGCGAGTCTGTCTTTAGCTGACATTATCTTTTTGAATGTACTTAAAATAATCTCCTTCCAATGAAAGAAAGAGACCCACAATAACGGTACCTCCGCCCCCAAGCATTGTGCTGTGTTGTATCAATACACAATGAAGGGAATTTATGAAAACTGGAGCAGATACAATCTGGAGCAGTTGTGCATGGCAACCAATCAGCTTTTCTCTTTAATTTTCAAATCTTAACTGAACAAACTGAAGAGAGAAGCTGATTGGTTGCAATGCACCACAATGCAGGAAAAACCAGTCTTGCAGCCAAATTTTAACACCACGCTGCAGGTCCATCAGCCCCTAGTGTGTTTGGGATGCTATTCGGAATGAACGACACCTCAATGCACTGCACAGATAAGTATGGACTACTCTGCAATAAAATGCAACGTATAGGTGTAAAGCCAACCTAATCTTGAATCCAACAGAAGAAAACCATGTCCATTAGGATATGCTATCAGCTCACTGTTCCATTCTTGAGCAACATATTATTCCTGCTGTTTTTCTCATCCTGACAAAACATTCACACAAAGATAACCATGTTTTTGTTCTTCCTTGTTATCAGCGGTTATAGGGCATTCTGCATCGGGCATATAGACAGTCCCAGGTCTAACCTCTAGGGGGCAGTAGTTTTGCTAATAAAATATACTGATATAATTGAGCAGTGACATATTATTTTTTGTGGCAAATAGGAGTCCTTTCACACTTTATTACAAGTGTTAGTTCAGTAGAATTTAGTGTTAGTGGTGCATGCTGAGAATTTAAATAAGCTAAACAAAAATGGCAACCACACAATTTGTAAATAGCCTTCCCAGCAAGGTGCACATGGAAGGGCTACAAAGGAACAATACAATACACAAGCATTTCCCAGCACTCTCACGGGCTAGCCTGCAACAAAACAAATGACACTGCCTAACAATTTGCATTAAAAGCACAGGTTTTAGTTGCACAACGTTTGCACAATATTTTAAAGCCACACTGCTTTGTCAAGGCTCCTCTGTGTAGTGTGATCCTAACTCAAATCTTTGAGAGCCTTCATCTTGGAGCAAATTTAGCAGTAGATACATTGAATGCAGGTATGTCTTGAGATGCCTCACTCATCTTTAAAGGTACATAGTCGCCACACCAAATACAGCCAAGCTAAACAAAAATGGCAACCACATAACTGCACAAAAATCTGTTTTTAATGCATATTGTTAGACAGTGTAATTTTGTTTTGTTGCAGGCTAGCCAGTAAGTGTGCTTGGAATTTTTGTGTTTTGTATTGTCATAAGCCCTTCCATGTGCACCTTGCTATCAAGGCTAGTTATAATGTGTGCAGTTGACATTTTTGTTTAGCTCGGCTGTATTTGGCGTGAGGGCACAAAGTAAGGAAGATTGTACAAGACAGGTGTATGGCCAGCTATAATAAATAATATAACAAGGCATAGGGCTGATCTATAACTCTGCAGCCCAGTTGGGTGAATGTTGGTCACATGGCCCTACTTCCACTAAATGGCATAAGGAGCATAAGAAATTCCTGTGCTCTTCAGTGCCATCTAAATTTGAAATGGGCAATGCTCAGGTTTACTTTAAAATATAGGTATAGCAAATTATTTTATTTTTTTCAATAGACTGGGGAGGGTTAACCCCAGTTAAGGTTTGTCTCCCCGCTTGGGTAGATTTGCCCTTTTTGTTTGTACTGGTGACCACAGTCTAAGAGACAGAAAGTGGTAGGAAATACAAAATGTTACCGTTGTTTCCGGAGCAGGAAGGGTCGGTAAATCTTTCTATAAGGATACTTGGTCCGGTGACAACTATCTAAGAGGGGAGAGACTTCTTTCACTTCTTGTTGCATCTCCATGACTGGAAATGAAGGGAAGTCTCCCCAATGGTACAAAGACAGCAAAAAATGAACCTTTTCTGTCCTAAACTTATAAGAATATTTCTAATGATACATACACTTGAAATGGTAGACATAGCAAGAAGTGATAGCTTAGATATGTTTGCACTGTAGAATCAAAGCTGTCTGCTGCAGCCTTTTCATTTACTGTTTTATTTTGTTTTATTCATGAAAGTGCTGGACTGATTAAATATGGGTGTACTTGTGAAGATTTGATCATTTGTTATGTTGACTTTAAAACAATAAGCACATACAGTAATAATATTAATATAATTTATTATTATTGGTGAATGGTTGTTTTACAATGCATTCAATCAGCTACTGCTGAACACTTTTCAGTGGACAATTCCTGCTAGATAGCTAAAGAACCAGCAGAGGGCGCTACTCTCCCATACAAGCAGTAATTAGAACTATATGCAGGGACTGGTTTTCTCTGACAATAAGTGAACCTGTCAAAAGAAAAGTCGTGAAGCTGCCAGAGCTGTCATATTTTTTTCATCCTGATCTACCTTTGCTTCTTAGTGCGTTACTGACCCAAAACAAGTATGAAGACTAAAGGAATCATATGCCCTGCATACTTTTTCAGACCAGTTGCACTACACTCAGCTGTTTGTTTTTTGTCATTTTACAAAAGTAATGTTTTGTGTGTTCATTTATCATTGATGAACACCTGAGTAGGGAAATTAGAAAAAAAAAAACACCCTAGAGGCCCGTTCATACTAACGCCTGGTTACTGAAGCACGCAGCAGTGCCATTTGTTCTGAATGGCACCACAAAACACCTATCATAGAAAAAACTGTATTGTGCAGTGCAGCAAGGTGGGGTGCATGCCCTGTTTGGTAGCACACCGCAGTGCACCTTAGTGTGTTGCAGCAGATTGCACTGGACTGGATCTGGTTTTCTTTTTCTTTTTTTTTCTGCTGAGTTGTTGCACGAATCATAGCTGGAACTTTAATGACAGCTGAAGATCTAAAAGATTGGAAAGTACATTAACATTTTAAGGATTGAGGTTTTAGTGATTAGGTTTATATAGAGAGTTCTAATTCTTAAAGTGTAAGTAAAGTTCTCAGCACTCAGTGAACTCACTTGTCACTGCCATCTTCCTCGCTTGGTTATCTTCCAGGTTCAACATTTCGCCCATCTCGGTTGGCTGGTTTAGGATGATGTAACTCGCGCATATGCGCACCGCAGTTAATTCATCCTGGCTCCAATGCATGCACATCTGCGGCTCAGTATACAATCTTTAGAAATGTGCTAGCGGGAAGGTGAAAAGCTTTTATTGCAGAAGAGACACAGAGAGGGCAATTCAAAATGGCAAATTGCCAATGGCATTTGTCACACTTTTTTTCTGGCATTATGGATATCTTAAAGTCCTGTGCCGTATCTATAAAAGCAATGTGACCGTTCTAATGCTATTACTGAGACGTGCAATAAATCCAAGTAGTGCTTAGTCATGACATTTATACATGACATCATAATGGCTGCAACAAATTCTCAAATAAATACTGGGAACTAACAATAAAAAAGACCCATTCCATCTTGGTGTAATTTAGTCCCAGCTCAGTGTCCCCCTCAGTGACCCTCCTCCCCATCCTAGCAACCATTGACACTGTGCTGATAAGTGTCACTGGTTGCTAGGATGCCGGCTGCCTCGCCACATGGCATCATTGGTTGTAAGGACACAGGCCAGGCAGCCAACTTGCGTCCTATCAAATAGCAGAGTAACCACTATTTTGAGTTGACTCCAGAACAGGAATAGAGGGTAAATCTTCTAATGGGGACACTTGTACCAGCAACAACTGTCTAAGATAGGGGTAGCAAAACTCCGGGCCTCCAGCTGTGGTGAAAATACAAATCCCATGATGCATCTCTCTCCGGGAGTTGTGGCTGTGAGAATCTTGCAATGCCGTATGAGATTTGTAGTTCCACCACAGCTGGAGGGCCGGAGTTTGGCTACCCCAAAGCTACTCCATCACATTGGAAAAATTTCCTCTCACTTACTGTTGTCCTTACAGGACAGAAAGTGAAGGAAAATCTCCCCAATGGGACACAGATGGTGAAAAAAACTGACAGAGGTTCTCACTAATACTTACTCTACCCAGAATGAAATAAATGGCTTTAGTTATACTTTAAGTGCGGCCTTTTGGCTAAGATCAAGTGTAGTATCTGTTCTTATCAGTTGTTGGAGGGGAAAGGATGCTGCTGTCCAATGGGAGAGCATTCGAGTACCCTCTGGCGTAATTGGTGGGTGTCAGAGGACGGTTTGGTCCACTGCTGGTTGCGTCAGGCCCTGAGGTTACGGGTAGACCCCAGACAGTGGGAGGACCCCCGATGGCACTACCTCCTGGTATGAGTGGAGAAACACTTGGTCTGGCTGGAGGGTTGGGAGGCGGCAGAGCCCGTGGTGTTGTGCCCCCTGGGGGTGGCGTCCCAGGGGTGCTCAGAAAGTCACTTGGGTGTGGGACCCCACTTTGACTCACTGATGCACTTGGTCACACACCACCTTGCAGTTTCTGCACATCGCCTCTTGGACAGGCCTTATGGCTAGTCCGGGGCAATTTTTTGGCACTCGGCCCCTAAGGCCTGTCAGCGTGGTGCACTGGCACTTTAGTATTATTTATTGCACTCTATTCACGATTGCACGATAGGCTTTTTTTTTAAAGCGTTTTGACCCACAGATGCAGCGGGTGCAGGTTCCTTCGGGGCCTTTTCCTGATGTAGGGAGGAGATTCTGTGCCATCTATGGGGTTCTCTGTCTCCTCCCAAACCAGGGGGGGCTTCTCTTCGGGAGATCCCCCTACCCAGTACTGTGTGGGACCTGTCTCGGCAGGTCCCCGAAGGATCGGGGTCCGCCAGTCTCCGGGCTGGCGGACCAACAGTCTCAACCCCTGTCAGGAGCCTTGCGCCCCGGGGGGTCGGGAATCGAGGTCCCTTCTTTGTGAAGGACCAAGCACCCTTGTGCACGTTTTTGTGTGCTGTGATTTCACGGTTCACTTTTTTTGTTCACAGGGAGAAGTTTGTTTTATGATGCACGTCCACGGGCTCTTAAAAAATTAAGTGTTCATAAGCAAAAAAAGATATATATGTATCTGACTCTGTTACACTCCCCAACATTTGACAGACAGTGGCACAGACACTCTTCTATTTAGTGTCTGTATCACTCTTTATGATTTCCAGAGACAGAATCTCTTCTACAATAAATGCCTTCCTGCTAGCAAATTATTTCCACTTCATATTCAGTTATACAATGTAAGGCCTGAAAGTTGTGGATCTTGCAGGATTTTCCATACAACACTCGGCTGTGTTTGCAATGTGTAAGAGGAATAGCGTACAATCTCCATTTGCTCACACATATACCGGCACTTATAATGCAGATCTGGTGCCGTTTACACTAGATTACATTTAAAAGCCAAATCAAACATATTCAAAGTATGCCGTTCATCAGCTATTGACAGATTCTTCTTTGGTATACACTGTGAAGACTTCTGCCACTCTTTATTTACCATCAAAAAAGTTTTTTATCAGTTGTGTATGTTTTTCATATTACGCTGTATTTACTTTTTTGTTTTACTTTAGCAGAATATTTACATTCTGTTTCCATTGTGTATGTGTGCCTAGGTAAGACAGTATATTGTGACAAATGTATCAACAGGTTTGTTCCAAGTATTTGGCACAGTTCCAGTGCAAAAATGTCTGTAGATATTTAGCTGTCCCAAGCAGGAACAGGTGAAGTACTAATAAACACACCTTCCTCATGACCTCCTGAGCACCATTATTTTATTCATCGTAATGCCTCATTTCTGAGGAGCTCGCTCCATATTTACATTCTTTTTCCTGTGGACATATTATCCTGTGTGCCTGCTGTGCTCAGATGGTATCTGTCCAGTGGAGGAGGGGGCTGGTATTCTGGGAGTCTAGAAGATAATTGTGCACATCTGCCAGGCGGGAGCTTCCAAAACTGGCTACTAGAAAGCCACAGATTCCCTTCGCTTCGGACGACTGGTTTTTGTAGAATCTTGCATTCCTTTGTAGTAAAAGTTTTTGGTTGCTCCTCACCATTCAGGTCAATCCTGAACCTGGCAGCTCATTTCATCTCTTAAAGGAGAACTATGAGGTGAGTGCTTTTCACTCATCCTCATAGTTCTAGCCGACCTGTGACAATGAGACTGTCACAGGTCGGCTCAGTAGATCGGGAGGTGAGCGAACACATACCGTCGTTCGCTCACTTCTCGATCCTGTCACGGCTCTTTGCCGTGACAGGGGAGGGGCTGGATTCCCCCCTCCCCGCTCCAATCCGCCAGCGCTGACTGGCGAAACGGACGGGGAGGGGGCGGGTACAGCTGGCTCTGCCTCTAGATAGGCAGAGCCAGCTGTCAGTCACGCAGCTGGGCAGATCCAGACATAATTGTCGGGATCCGCTTCAGCTGCGGCGTCTTAGTATACCGCGAGCAGGAGCGGTGTCTCAGTATACCGCGAGCGGCGTCTCAGTATACCGCAGGCTACAGCTCGCGGTATACTGAGCCTAGGGTGACGGGAGGACGCTAGTTTGTGTCCTCCCGTTACCCTAAGGAGAACTATGGGAAAAGCCTTAACCCCATAGTTCTCCTTTAAGTGTTGTCCCAAATCTCTACCCATATTTTTATAAATGTTCTCATCAAATAATATATCTTCTAGTTTGATTTTACCTGTGTAGGCTTTTAACATGTACTTTGTGCCCAGTGGGGTATTTGGCTTTGCATCCATGTTGTCAAGTTGCTGTTGTATTCAGTGTTGTGCCTGTACAAATGTTCAGTTGTTGAGCGTCCTGTTGGGAAGGGACATTGATCCTAGTTTTATGAGTGTGCCCTGTTTTTCTTTGCAGATGGCTCAGAAAGATTCTTGTGCGAGTCAGTATTCAGCTATCAAGTTGCATCGACTTTAAAGCAGGTGAAGCATGGTAAGTAGATAACTAGACACAGGTTTCTGCTGTGGAGCATGTCTCCAAACAGTTCTAATTGAAAGGACATGTGAACAGAATCAGTGTTCCAGGATTTAAAGCCTGATTAATGCATTTATTCTATATATCAACATATACATGGGCATTTTAATAAAGGAGACAAGCAGGTTATCTGCCACAGGCTGGCCTCTATTGAGTGCCCACCAAGAGACTTGTAAGCTAAGCTTAGATAGAAAGATGTCTCCCCAGAATGATATGCATAGATAGAGCTGCCTGTGCTTACAGGAGTGCCAGTACTTCACTGCACATGCATGGTACTTCTGCTTTTGCACTCGACTCCATTTTCCACAGAATACCTTAGAAAGCCTGTACAAATGTTTCTGCTGCTGCAAATAATGGTTGCAAAATGGACCATGTAATGTTAAGAACCAGAAGCATTGTTTGCTTTTTATTAGGGCTGCGGAAATTAACGATTAATTACCCGATTTTAATCGTTAACATTTTTGATCGATAAAATTTCTTTTGATCAATAATGAAAACACTCACCGCCGACTTCCGGGAGTCCCGTCGTAGATCCGGTGACGTCACAGACATCGACGTCACCGGACTCCTCCCCCCTTCCCCAAGTGGCTCTGTCGGCTAACGAAGGGAAGGGGGGAGGAGTCCGGTGACGCCGATGTTCACCAGACTCCTCCCCCCTTCGTTAGCCAACGGAGCCACTTGGGCCGGTGATCTGTCGACACTTATCGAGTTCTGCGACCGCCTGACTTCCGGTTTCGTTACAACTAAGAGGTTTGCCCAAGAAACTTGTTCTGCACGAGCGCCAGCCAAGGCATTGGCCTATACACATACAGCACAGCAATGAAGTAATAAAATGAACTAGGATCACACTAATCTAGCACGTTATTATTCTGAGTTGCCCCACTCAAGCGGCGGCCATATTGAGTGGGGCACGTGAGATTAATAACGTGCTGGATTAGTGTGATCCTGGTTCATTTTATTACATCATTGCTGTTCTGTATGTGTATAGGCCAATGTAGTTGGATCTGTATGTGTGTTATAATTAATCGATTAAACAAAATTTTGATTAATCGAACACAAAAATTTTAATCAGTAACAGCCCTAGTTTTTATTGATCTGCCTATAGCCAACATAGAAAATGAATTTGGGATAGTTGTAAAGATAACATTTTTCAAGGACCTGGTGCCCTAGAGTGTTAGGTGGCCTCATGTTTTATAGGATAGAGAGGGAGGAGCCGAAACTGTCATTTAGTTTTGGATAGAGTGGTGAGGGGTTAGAGTTTTATTGTCCGTGTCCACATTAGTGAGATATATACTCTGTATTTGTCCTGGTGGCCACCATCGCTTAAACTGAAAGGCAGGGAATAACCCAGGGGAAGGCAACCTTGGTACTGCAGCTGTTATGGAACTACAAATCCGTTGAGGCACTGCAAAACTGTGACAGCAAAAGGCATGACTCACAGAGGCATGAGTGGGAATTGTAATTTAACCACATCTGCAGTGTCAAGGTTGCCTAATCTGGAGTCACCACTATTTTGAGTTACCACCAGAACAGGAAGATGGGCTAAATCTTCCAATGGGGACACTCGTACCAGCAACAACTGTGGGGATTTCGCTCACATTGGAGACATTTTCTCTCTTCCTGTTGTCCCTACAGGACAGGAAGTGAAAGAAAATCTTCCCAATGGACACAAATGGGGGGGGAAAAAACCCTGACAGCGGTTCTCACTAATACTTACTAGCAACACCTGGTCAGTTAAAATGGAAACACTGGAACACCTTATTCAGCACACAAATACATACGTGAATTACAATTCTACATTTCATAAACTTTGATATTACCTCACAAAATTCTAAAAATATTATAATCACCAGACTGCGTTGTATGTCTATGGATGACTTTTTTTTTATCTAAACAAAAGAACACAAAGGTAACGCATTGCAGATTACTCATCCCTAAATGTGGTGGCTGCATCAGGTTTTTTTTCTTTATTTTTACCTGGTGATCCTGTCAGAAACACACTTCCTGTCTTACGGTGACAACGCTCACTCCGTGTACTATTCTGTGTATTACAGGACCAGATTGGCTTATGCTCATTTTATGTATTTAGTTAACCTTTTCTCTACTTTTTGCAATTACTTTAAAAAAAAAAGTAACTTAGAAAATGTCTGCATCACTGCTGATCTTTTTTCTTTTTTTCCTTAAGGGCAGCGTGATTTCACACTCCCACCACTGACAGGTTTAATTAAGCGGGCAGAGCCTAGATCTTGTCTTTTTAGCAGGGGCTTGTAAAGCTTTCTTCTTTGATACCTGGGGCAAAAAGATCTGAAGAGCATGAGACCACAAATCTTGTCTCCACATTGAATATGTCACAATTTACTCAGCTTTAAATATCACCTTTTTCTTTACCTTGCTAGAGTTCCCATTTGCATGATTCATGAAAAAAAAACTGTATTTGCTTCCATTTATTTTGTTCCTGTATTTCTTGTGCTCTGAGTGTACTTTCTTCCCTTGCATTGCCCTCCCTTACCAGATCTTGTAGATAAACAAAGTCTACATGTAGTTAACTCGAGGTATCTTGCTCCCTATCAAAGAGATGCAAATAACTAGCTTATTTACAAAAAAATAACATGTTTATTAGAAATATTAGGGAAAGAGAAACCTCAAAAATAGGCTTAACGGCTAATTTTGTTTATATATAACAAGTCGGTAGTTGATCCCTACGCGTATTAGATTAATAAAGTCCTAGATGCCCACTGTAAGGGCCATGCAGCAAAGGCTAGGGCACTCACAGCTATTTGAGAGATCATAAATTAATCCAAGGCTTTAGGTAGGGTATACACTGGTAGATTTTCGAACAAACGTTTGTACAAAAAATCTCGTCGGAACATTTGAGCTTTCTTTTGGAGGTATATATATACCATGGGGGGGGGAGGGGGTTATTTTTTTTTACTATATAATGAAAAAAGTACCATAAATGTAAAAAAAAAAAAAAAAAGTTTCCCTACGTTATGTTATAAAACATTTATTCTTACCAATATTTTTAGTAAAACATAAAAAGTCGTGCTCACGTCGGGTAAATAGACACCAAACATGTCAAGCCTTAAAATTGTGCGTGCCTGCAAAATCGCAAAAACGCCTATAGGCGACTATTAAAACGTTTTTACCGCTCATCAGTTTAGTGTTATCAGTGATTAATGGCTCTAAAATTATTGCTCTCACTCCGACGTTTGTGGCGATATGTAACATGTGCGGCACAATAGGCGCAATCGTCGTTTTCGCACGTAGGCGCACCCCATGCATATCTACGTGTGTATGTGGGGGGCGGGGACTAAAAAAAAAATGTTTTTTTAAGATTCATTTTTGTATTACTTTTTTTTTTATTTACACACAACTTTATTGCTATTACATGGGGGGCTAAGAAGCCCCCTATGTAATAGCCAATTTACATGACAGGTCCTCTTTATGGAGACATCAGGGGTCTCCAAGACCCCTAATGTCACCTAGGGACCCCCAGAGAAGCTGATGAAGCAGATATCTGCTTCATCAGCTTCTGTAGCTGGAGAGTGACACTGAATGCAGGAAGTGATGTAATATACATCACTACCTGCATTTGGGGACTGAGAGGAGATCAAAAGGGAGTTCATATACTGAGAGTCGTGCCGGTCCCGGCTGCATCGGGCACAGCGGATCTCAGGACCGGCAGTGGCAGCTGCTAATACAAGCGACCGAGTGTCTCTAGAGACGCTTGATCGCTTGAATGTAAGGTCTCGTTCACACCTAGGCGTATTGCATATGCGCGTCTGTCGCGCGTTTTTTTACCGCGATTAGCGGTAAAAAAGTTGCGCGACCGTCGCGCGTTTCCGAAGGCTACTTGGCTGTATCCCAATGGAAACGCGCAACAAAACGGCCCAAAGTAGTACCTTTACCTTTTCAGGCGTGGCCCGTTTTGTAACGCGTTAGGGACGGGCGGAAATACGCCAAGGTGGGAACGAGACCATTGAATACCATGGGATTTATATTTTTGAGCGTTTTGTAGAGCGTTCGTCGAGCGTAGAACGCGCTACAAAACGTTCAGGTGTGAACGAGGGCTAAAGCTGCTCGTCGGGCTCCGCCGTCCTCTTGTCACAGACAAGCGGACGAGTGGATTTTTCAAGCCCTGTGTGTGTATATATATATATATTTATATGTGTGTGTGTGTGTGTGTATGTGTATGTGTGTATATGTATGTATATATATATATATATGTGTATGTATATGTAAATATATTGTGAGTGTGTTAGATCGGCAGCGGGTGTGTTCACACAACAGAAACACACGAGATTTGTTTTCCCTTTTTCACCACACAGGTCAGCAGAAAGCTCCCCAGTCTCTTCAGGCATGAAACTGGTTCCAGGGTGGAGCCATTCTCTGAGCAGTCTGGGAGTTTTTATAGATGCCCTAATGAGCCAGCTTCCTTCAGCTGGGCTCATTATCTCTACCATTCCAGCCTCCCAGTACTCCCTCTAGTGGAAAAAATCTGCATACATCCTGAACCTGGGACACACATATACATCTTCCTGCGGCCACAATATATATATTGTGGCCGCAGGCAGGTGTATTTTGCTCAACCCCCTCCGCCCCCTCCTGACTCCTCACCTTCAATCCCGGGATCCGCTAGCCCATCTGCGGCCCGGGACCGGCTTGGGAGGGCGTCGGGAGGTAAGATGGGAAGGAGATCAGCATCTCCCTCCTTGCTGATCTCCCTCCGTAGGTTCAATGCGGAAGTGATGAGTAATACATCACTTCCGCATTCACCTGTCAGTCATCAGGCTGCTATAGCCAGAGAAAAGAAGCCGATGAAGCAGATCTCTAGTCAGTGAGGACTAGTCAGTGTGACTTTGCTATCACATAGGGGGATTGTTATCCCCTATGTGATAGCAATAACAATAAGTGTCAAAAAAAGTTTTTTTTTAAATCCCCAAAAGTTTGAAGACCCCCACGTTTACGCACATATAAACGTAATCGAACGCATATTTTAGGACCATCAATCACTGATAACACTAAACTGATGAGCGGTAAAAGCTTTTAAAGCGTCGCCTATGGCCAATTTTGGGTAATGTCGTTTTTTGAGGTTTCGCGCGCGTGTGCAATTTTAAGGCTTGACATGTTTGGTGTCTTTTTACCCGACGTGACCCCGTCTTTTATATTTTACCAAAAAATTGGGTAATAATAATAAATGTTGTTTTTAATGTTTCCTTAATATGGTAAGAAATAAAACCCCAGTGGTGATTAAATGCCACCTTTCCAGTGTTGATTTTTATTATTCTTATTATGTTTGTGTGTTGAACCTTCTAGTCATATGTAAATAATCCACTTGAATCAATTTTTTCACACGGATTGTTGTAATTTTTACACAGATTCGTTTATTAACACTTTAGTGTGCAGTTGGTTCACATAGACCGAGCGCAACATATTTGCTTTACAATACTGAAAAATGGCCTGGACAGTAAGGGGACTTCAAGAGGTTAATGTATATAATCTTATTGTGTGAATATTTTACACACAGTTCTTCTATACAGAGCTTGTGTAATATTATATGGATATTGGGACAACCATATTTTCTTTTATAATATGTGGGCTGTGAGTCTCCCAGAATACTAGAACTTGATTATGTTTTATTGGTGCCCTCATTTGTTACAAGACTATCTGCCTGTTGAGACTGATTTAAAAACGATGCAATTTGTATGTGGCTTATGTTTTATCACAGCAGGTATTCAGCGTTATATGCAGCTAGCCAGTAGAGGTAGAATCCTTATATACTGTATGTGTCATTTATTTAAAAAATATACTACAGTAGGCAAAACAAATGAAAGTCTTATGTCCAGGTAAATGTTTCAAATGTCACAAATTAGCAATCAAATATAAACACAATTTGGTATAGTTTCTCTTTAACAAGTTAAGCTACTTAGTAAAACAAATGTACATAGCCTGGAGTTAACTATACCGAGGCCAAGAGTTTAAGGGTTAATCCACCCAAAGCTGATATTTGGTAGGAATCTGTCAGCCCAAATCTCTCCCCGTGTTAACCCAGCACCTGCTGGCATTTTTTACTCCATTTCATACTACTTGGCTCTGTTTCTGCCCACTTTGGAGTTTAGGGAATCCCACTCACCTTTTCACGTTCCTAATTCTTCTGTTGTACTCTTCACTGTATACAATAAATATAAAATCCAGCAGGGAAAGCAGGAGCCCTGCCACAGTTGTCAAGTCTGGAAACTCAAGTGCAAAGTTGTCACCTCTGAACTCCCTGGAAGATGGCAAATAAAAAAATCTGAGATGTAACTGTCCAGAATTATCAGTTTCGGGTGTCCTGCCTCTCTAAGGAAGAAAGCCATTCTAATTGAAATGTTGAATTTTTATGTAAAGTGCCAAGTTGCTGAATTCTCTTAATGCACCAGTTAACACTCTACCACTTTTACAGTTCTACGTCCCTTTGCTGTGTCATCCTGACTGACTGCACAGCCCTTACAAGGGCAAGGAAGAGCCCATTCACATTTGTCCCTTCTGTAAATCTGCTTGGCTATGAAGTGCTGTGGGTGGCCACACACAGACATCAAAATTCAGACTGTGCCTCTGTGAACCCGGTACATATGGCGCTCTGTTAGGCCCCAACAGGCAGCACTGGGAGTGTAAGCATTGATTTTTAAAGGGGTTGTAAGGGTAGTGATCTCTAGCAGTCCCTTGTAACATATTTTCAGTCTCTAACTGAAGCAATTTTCCAGTCCTTAACCAACCCGGTCTGCACTTTTTGACTAATTATTTTAATATATCTGCTGTTTCTGAACTCTTCTGTACTCTCATAGATACAGTATTATACGCATCACGCCCGCTTTTGAGGCCCCCACACTGACAAACGCCATTCTTTGTGACTACACCATCAACAGTTTTCTTATGTGTACAGAATGATATATTTTATTTTTATTTTATTTTTAAATTGCATTGTCCTTTTATTTACAAATTGACGTGAAGGCATTTTTCTTTTAAAAGCAAGGATATGAGTTAAAAATAAAAGCCTTACCTCTACAGTTGGTATTGTTGAACTTCTACTAAATGGGAGTATCTGATGCCCTCACTTTTTATGAAATGTAAAATGCTGCTGTTAATCAGGCTTATTGTGTGCTCTAGTTATCTTCCCCCTCTCTATCTGTATGCGTAGAGGTTGTATGGAGAAAAGCTCAGTTCTATATTATGTGTGGGAGCATAACAAAAAATCTAATTTACGTTTACAGGCCTTGTTAGCGTCAGTGTAAATCATAGGTTACAGTGAATGTAAAAATGTATTTGATGCTCAACAATGACAGAAAGGGTTCTTCCAGTGATAGTTCTGTCCAGACATTGACGCATAGCAGAAAAGGTTCCAGCTCGGTTCCTTCAGTTTTTCCATCTTTTTGCCTTCTGTGTGTTTTTGTCTTCAGGATTCAAAGACTTTTTTAAGCATTTGTTTCCTCTGCTGTTTTAGTATTTTCAGTCCTTTAAACAGATCATCACACTTTTATTCCTTGGATTGTTTTATTCCGGAGCAAGAAAAATTTAAGACCCAGAGCTCAAAATGTTTTCATGCTAAGACATTCATTTGTGTGTATTGTTTTCAGTACATGAGAATTACACTTTCTAAATAGCCACAAAATGTATAAAGGAGAGAAAGGTTCTGTCTGTGTATATTCACACATATACCCACACACAATTTGATCCATGAGTGGCCATGTCAGCACCACCTGGTTCGACAAGGTGATTTTTTTTTTATGCTTGAAGGCGCCAGGTGTCGGAATACAATGCCTGGCAGGGCAGATTTCCCTTAGCCACGCTGTTTAGTGTGGATGCAGGAATTGAGTGACTTCTCTAATTCAAAGAGAGATCTTTACATGTGTGGTCAGCCTAAGTAAATAGCACAGAAGATTGGAAGACTCGACAGTTGAGGGGAATCTGAGAAGCAGTGCTTCATCATGAACCTCTGCAGAGAGGAGCTACAGCCGTAGAGAGACCTAGAGAGACAGGGTGAATCCTGTTCTAATTGCAGTAACATTTGTTTAGGTCTAATCTTTTCAGATCAGCAAGTGAGTCGAATGGAGAAGTTGGCCGGGTTAGTAGAAGAGCTGGAGGCAGATGAATGGAGATACACACCTATAGAACAGCTCCTGGGCTTCACCCCATCTTCAGTAGGAAAGTGACCGACAATTTGAAACTTACTGAAATGCATAAGTGTGACGGCTTAAAACGAAGACTTCTTTTGGAAAAGGTTGTGAGAAGACTTTCATTTCATTTGACAGATGGCTCCAGATAATGAAAATGTTATGTAAGAAAAGTGTATTTCCATCCCTGTAGAACCATTGTGTTGTATTTAGCCAGTCCCAACTTACACTATTATAGAATTGAGAATTAGGTTCTGTAATAGAATGAGCACATCCACAATTTTTTTGTCATCATTTTACTAGGACCACCCAGGACTCAGATTCCTATTTGACTTCTGTTATGGAGATTTGACCAGATTGCAGATTTAGGTGCCATGTGAATTTAACTGAAGTCTTAGACATTGGCACAGTTCCTTGGGGGTACAAAAACTTTTATATATTGTTTAGCCCTGCTAGATATTTTTCATTGTATTTTTTTTTGTGTAAATAAAGTTGTATGCTCTAAAAAATTGCAATGTGTTTTATTATAGACATTGGTTATGAGTAATCATTTACTCCAGAAAATCCATTGTAAAGATTACCTTTACACAGTAACTTAAAACTTTTACAAGTTGAAGCTCAAACAAACACAGAAATTAAAGAATAAGTACACTTACTCTCTTTGCACCTCCCCTTCCCGATCCAACAGATGCCACTCTCTCCCTCTGAAGATGCATACTTGTCGAGATCCAACGTCTGCGGCCTCCTTTGTTTACATCTCACACCAAAGTCCTCAATCTGCGAGCCGCGCCTGCACAGTGAAACCCCATAGACTTCTGTGGGGCTCGTCCAGGTCCATCTCCTGGCTGGGAGATGAGTCCCATAGACTTCTGTGGGGCTCAATAGAGCAGGCATTATTCAGAGTTAGAGTCCAAATTAATCCGTTAGACTTGGTTAACACCAAGTGTGTTGTGTTTAGTGCACATTAAACGCCCTCGCGCTGACGTGCATTCACTTATTTTTTGTTAACATGTTGTGTTGGTTTTTTTTTCTCCACTGCAGAAGTGAAAGTTCTTTATGTTTTTTTCCTTTTAACGCTTACTGTAGCACGCTACTATGCCGCATGTTCCATTTCACCCAGCACACATCAACACAGCGCAGCATTGATGGGAATTCGGCCTATTGCAAACTGGATTTCATTTTGTCATTGCTTTGGGCCTGCATTGAGCAACGGAGCCAAAAAGGACATGGTGTAATTGGGCCCTTAGGCAAATGTGATCTCTAGGTTACAAAACTATAACCTTACAAGAAACATAACACCAAAATCTGCACAACTTTATAGCACTGGAATGAAACAGAAACAAAATATTAAAATATATTTTTTTAATTCATTAAAGGTCACAGTGGAGATCTTGAGTAGTTCATACGACGCTACTAACATCGCTAGAGATTGATTGCTACGAGCAGTGACTGATCCCTACACGGATGGAACAAGTAGCACATAGCAGTTATTCAGAGATGATCATAATGTTTTAAATATGGGAAATAATTGCTAATATATGCTACCTGTGTAACTTCTACATAAGTAAGGAGCCAATGGTGTAGCAATTTCACTATAACAATTATTGCACATGTGCTGCTGCTGTGACTATTTTCCCTGCTTGTCAAACTCTGCCTTTAATGCTGCAACAGCTCTGCTCATTTCCAAGTCATTGCAAATAGTATTTCTGGACATCTAAGTTTTTGTTTCAATAAAAGGGCTTGATGTGTTTCTAATTCCACAAAATACCACGGGCTATTTAAAAAAAAAAATTTAAGGATTAGATTGCTTATCCAGTAGCTGATTGGGTTTGGGGATCAGGAAGGAATTTTTTCCGCGTTAAAGAAAACTGCGGGGGGGTTCGCCTTCCTCTGATCAAAAGTTCTGGGTTACTAAGGGATTCCTGCGTCAGGGACTTGCGAGTTCCTGCAGCAGGAGTCCCTAATCTGCCATTTACAAGCTGCAGCTGTCGCCCATTCAAGTTAATGATAAGTGACAGCCGCTGCAGGTAAACAGCAGATTAGGGATTCCTGCTGCAGGAATTAGCAAGTTCCTGACACACAAATCCCTAATTGCGCCTAAACTTACAGATGTGAATGGCCTAACTTTGGAAAGTGCTACAGATTATTGTCTTTGGAGAACAAGGCTTTAGCACAGGGTTATGCAACCTCATCCCTCCAGGTGTGGTGAAACTACAAATTCCATTATGCCTTTTTCTCTGGGGGTCATATCTGTGCCTCTCAGTCTCGCAATGCCTCATGGGACTTGTAGTTCCACAGCAGCTGTAATGCCGAGGTTGCCTTCCCCTGACTTGGTACATTCACAGTAGCAGCAGACTGGATGCATGATATCAGTCCATAAGTTTATCCCTTCTGCTTCTCGCCTACTCATTATTTAGTGGGACATTTCAATAAATAGAGCTCCTCTTTTTCTCTTGGCCACAAATCCAAACATATATTTTTAGTCAATTAAAAAGCCAGTCTGAAATAGACACTTTCCCATGCAGGCTTATTTTGGAAAATAATACATTGACAGAAGAGCTGAAGAGAGAGGTTACGGAGGCATCTGCCTGTGGGAGTTGGTGGTTGTTCTGGATCAGCACATGAGGGGGATGTGATGTCAATTGTCCATATTTAGTTGTTTTGTACTAAAAATGGAACATGCTTATACATGCGTGCCAGTGCTAACACATATTTACCAATATGTTAAACATCTTGTGTTGACAGGACCTGGCCTTGGGGCGGCAGGGAGAGTAAATCCGGCCCTGACAGCAGTCGTATGTCATATGAGTTTGGAACTCTCATAGCAGAGGATCTTTCAGATTGGTTGAATTGTAAATCCATGAAAGTGTCCCTATTTTGAGTGGTGGTCCATGACAGCTGTATGAATGTTACATTTTCACTCAATCCCTTGACAGCATTAGAGGACCTGGAAGATGGCCATTAAGCAGCCTGACCTAATAGACAAGCTTTCATGAAGGGGACGGGACCTGGAAATGCGGTAGCTGTAAACAGTCCACTGATGTACATTCACTTCTGATGATGACATCTAAGATTCAGTTACTTGACTTGAACTCTGTCCTGTACTTTGGTCTGTACTTTGACCTGTGATTTGGATGAGATGTTCATGCTGTTATATCCTTTAGTGTTTGTGAGTAGCCATTTAGTTTTTATATAAAATAAATGCATGGACTTCACGAGGAGCTCTGTTTTCTGCTCTGTCCACTTTTCAGTCAAATTTTAGACACCCCCATTATATGTTATGTGTTCCAATTTATGTAACATACCTAAAAATTTATTTTTTAAAAACCTTACCTTTTTTAGTTGTTTCTTTGGAGCAGAATTATACATAGAAGCCTATAGGCAGCTTCTACTGCTTTGAAAAGATGACAATGCAGAGATAAGGGACTGGCTGAAGGGACAAGACTGACAAACGGTGCATTAACTTAGAACAGGGGTGCCCACAATTTTTCGTCTGGAGATCTACTTTTCAAATGACGAGCTCAATGAGATCTACCAACGGAAAACACCTGCATTCAGGGGCGGGAGGGGGCGTGGCAGTGCATTTAAGTCAACCGGCCCTCTGTTCTCTCGCTCATCTCTTTCTCCCCTGTTTTCTATCTGCTGTCTCTTCTCTCTCTTCTCTCACTTTCTCTGCTGTCTCTCTCCTGTCTGTCTTTTCTTACCTCCACTGCAGCAGCTTCCCAAGTCTCCTCTTCTCTCTCCTTCCCGTCTGCGGCGTCTGACACATTCAGCCACACGAGTACCGTGGGAGGACAGGACACAGGTCAGTGAGATCTACCAGTTTTTGCTTTGCGATCTACCTAATGGGCACCCCTGACTTAGAATGTCTTGAGATCATTAACCCTGTGTTAGGGCAGACAGTCCTGCACATCTAGTTAACAGCTGATAATGAAATATGCCGGAGGCCTGGCGGTTCCCAACCTTCGGGCCTACTATCAAACTGCTAATATTGCTCCTTTGGCCCTCCTACACGCTTTTTCTGACCTTCCTCTATGGGCGTCATTGGATCACATTGAGTGCCACCCAGTTCCCTTGTCTTCCCTTATCTGGCTACCCCCTCTACCGCCCATCAAATCTTAATCCAGGCCCCTCTCATTCCCTTGTTGTGTGGGATGGAAGCAAGTACTCTGATTTAGTTGATTTATCCTCATCTATTATTGGTGGGTTATTGTTTATCACCCTCTTTTCTTGTCCGGCATCTCTGAACCTTCTCAATTTGCCTGGTGGTCCTCGAATGGCTTTATCGATATTTATGCCCTCTTCTCTCTTTCAGGTATTTTCAACAGCTTCGGGACTCTCAAAAGATACCCCCTCTGGAATATTATAGGTACCTTCAAATTAGGCACTACATCTCTTCCCTATTGAAGGGGAATACTTCCCCTCACTCTATCAATTCTTTTGAAAGGTGTTACAGCAACAATCCATATGCCTCGGGTATGATCTCCCTCCTTTATTCCTCTATCACTCCTCCCTCCGCTTCCCCACCTTTACCTTATCAGCGTAGATGGCAAGAGAATATTGGCACTTCTTTGTCTCATGATGATTAGCAGGATATTTGGGCTGCTGTGGCTAGATCGTCTAGGAATGTGTTGGCTTTGGAAAACTCCTTCAAAGTATTGTTACGGTGGTACTCCACTCTGGCCCACCTTGCAAAATGTATTCCTTCTTATGCCCCAGTTCGGGACTGCTCAGACCCGGGTACAATGCTCCACATCTGGTGGACTTACCCTATGGCAACTAAATTGTAGATTAGGGTTTATAACCTTATCTGTACACTTCTCAGTGTTTCCCTTCTGAGGGATCCCTGCGAGGCGCTACTGCTAAGACCTATCCAGACCTTTTCCCGCTTTGAGCAAGTCCGCGTAACTGATATTTTTGTAGCTACCAAGATGACCATTGCCAGAGCCTGGAAATCTCCCTCCCTGAGCTTTGAGGCAGTTAAGAATTGCATGAATGACATTTTGCTTAATGGGAAGCTCGTTGTGATATTGGGAGGATAAACTTGACCGTTTCTTGTCTATAACATACTCCAGGTCCCCGTATTTTGATGCTACTCTTTTGTCCATTTGATTTTTTAAATTATATTTTGCCTCTTGACAACACCGGTTCTTCTTTCTCCTCTTCTTTCTCCTCTTCTTTCTCTCTT